GTGTTATGCATGCGGAACGGTAGAGAATTAGATGACCGACCGTTGTATGTAGTTGAGGGACCTTGGTTGGACTCCCGTTCCTGCCGTTTATCCATCAATCCAGGGTCGAAAGTGGACCTGCATTTCCACATTTCGATCTCCTACTCCTTTTTTGCGCTCCTTTGTGCTCCTCCAGTGTAGGCTGTATGCATAGATTCTGGCAATTCTGCAGACTTATCACCCAAAAATGAGGTTCATAATCATTTTGCATATACTAGAAACTGTCACGAGCCTTGATAAGGCTATTTTCTCAACGTCGAAAGTCAGTAAAGTGGCATTTCACTGACAGCAGGATAAACTTTGGTCATCCGTGGAATGCGTGGAATGCGTGGAATGCGTGGATGCTTCAGGATTAGGATTGCGTGCCACTGACCCACAAAGGATCTTGCCGGTGGGAATCGAAGAAGGCCCTGATCAAGTAATCGACCAAAAGGGTTCGCAGTCCCTGTCGACGACATGACGAGTCCAGCATGGCGCTTCTTCTCCTCAATCTCAGCGAGGGACTCAGGGTCTCTTGAACACCGCGTATCCTATCATATCATCCACCATAGTAAGTGATTCTGCTAAGCATTGCGGATCCAGGCCCCGTTCCTGATCAACATCGGTCATTGATTGCTGGATTGCTGGGTTGCTCAGTATGAAACATTCCCCCATGGACTGCTGCCTTGGTAATGATGTATGCTCATCTGTCTGAAGCAGTTGGTCTTAGATGATCCTCCGGCGCATTGGTTAAATGCATCTCGTCCTCCCTCCCCGCAACCATGCAGGCAATCAACAAGATGTTGATGCACCGGTCTGCGCGCCATGGCCTCTTAACGGCGGTCTTTTTCACGCTCTTGATGACAGTGTGGTCATTGAACCTGGATTTTCTGATACCAAATGTAAGCCATGCGTTTGCCTGACCGGAAGTAGAGGACTTATCGTGAATTCTTGGGAAACAGAGACACAAGACGGCCCAAGAGAGGTATCTCGAGGAAGAAAAGCGTTATCCTAGGTGTGCTTAAGTTCCACCAGTGGATAAAGCCGGCAACTAACGTGGGATCCTTCACTGTGCATAGTGTGTTCAGCCATGTCGTCTCCACATTGGACAGGTTAGCCGTCCCTCCGAGTCATGACGACCGTACCATCCTCGAAGATCCTCGTTTCGAAGAGCAAGGCAGCAAGATTCCCAGGATATACCGACCATACCCAGACTATGGCAGTCAAGAATGGCAGAACACGCATCGGAGTCCGTTTGTTCCATGCGAGGGCCCGCGTGGGAGGCTCCTGAATGAGAGTTTGGATGATCAGGTCGGCGTCTACGTTGGCGTTCCGCATGGTAGGTTTTCTCTGTGCTTTTGGAGGCCTTGCTGCACTGACAATGCTGACTTGCGGGCCAGAGTTCCCATCCCCTATGTTCGGTAGCCACGAGGCCGTCGGGTTCAATGGTCAGGTATCCTTTGACCGCTACACTAGATATGGCGCTTATGGCTTCGGAGAGGAGGAAAGTCATGTCTCCAACTGGATCAAGCCATCCAAGGTCAAGTGGAGCGAAGTGGATTGGTCAGACCTGCAGCGCCAGTGCCATGATCGCAATGCCGCCAGATACTCTCAGAAGAATGACAGTCTCTCCAAAGAAAAACAGCAGATCGCGCCCGAGTCACGAACTGCTGTCCTAATTCGGACGTATGTCGGAAAGAAGTATACGGAGAACGATCTTCAGGCCATCCGTTCAATGATCACTGAGCTGTCGCTACAATCAGGAGGGGAATACTTTGTCTTTTTGCTCCTTCACGTCAAGGACTCGCAGCTCCCCATTGACCAGCTTGAAGTACACCAGAAGGTCCTGAAAGACAATATCCCTGAAGAATTCTGGAACATGACCATTCTCTGGAACGAGCCGATGGTCGCGGCCCGGTATCCAAATCTCGATCGCAATGTCGTCGAGTACGTTCACATGGCAACTGCCTCACTGATCGAGTCCAGCTGACGGTTGTAGTGTCCATCATGCGCAATGGCTGTCCATTCAAAATTTTGCCCTGCAACATCCCGAGTTCGACTTTGTGTGGAACTGGGAGGTCGATGCTCGGTTTACGGGCCATCACTATGAATACGCCAACAAGGTAGCCGAGTTTGGCCGGAAGCAACCACGACGGGGAATGTGGGAGCGCAATGCTCGCTTTTATATCCCGGCCGTTCATGGTGACTATGACAGTGCTTTCCGAAAGTTTGTGGAGCAGATCGAAGACGAAGCGGTCTGGGGCCCTTTACCCATCGGTCCCATCTCCATGAACGACAGGGAGTTCGTTGGTCCCTCGCCGCCGGTCTCCTCGCCGCGCCAGGACTCCTATGCTTGGGGAGTCGGCGAGGAAGCTGATTACATTGGCTTTCTTCCAATATTCCACCCCATCGGTACAGACTGGGTCATCCGAAATGAAGTATCAGGGTATATAGGAAACGATACTCCCCGCCGAGCCTCGTTGATTACACATTCCCGGCTTTCGAGGAAATTGTTGCTCGCCATGGACGCGGAGAACCTCGCTGGTCGGCATATGGGCTCGGAGATGTTCCCAGTCACCGTCGCACTGCATCATGGCCTCAAAGCGATTACCGCTCCGCACCCAATCTACTCGGACAAGAACATGCCTCCGGAAAGCGTGGATAAATGGTTCAACTCTGGTGTCAATGGAAGAGCTGGAAGCACAAAGAACAGCCCCTTCTCCTGGGGCCGGGAAGCCCGCTTCAGGGACATCTCGTGGTACTATCGCGCCAATCTCTCCGGACGGCTGTATTGGAACTTTCTGGGATGGAGCAAGGAGGGGACTGGAGGGAAGCTGGTAAGATCTATGCGTCAGCTAGGATCAAGCAGTCATGCTAATTATGCTTTAAAGTATGAGACCTTACATGGACGGGTCTGTCTTCCATCGATACTCTTCCATCCTGTCAAGGATGTTCGACCGGACGCAGATAACACACACTATAAGTTTGACTACGAGTTGGGATACGTTGCCATTCCATGATACCTCTTTCGTTTTGTCGCCTGCTTCGTTGATTCTGTATATACATAGACTTGTTTTACTACATTTCGCATTAGCCTGGTCAAAGTGCCCGTTTGTCGGCCCAGCCAGTGGAGTCTGGAGTCTGTGATCACATATCTTTGAGTCTGTCGTTTGCTTTCTTTGTTGTTTGGATAGAGATCAGGCACTTGGCGTGTCTCTTGGCGATGCTTGGTATATATCTATTGATATCCATTGGGTTCGACCTCAATTACTTCCGAAGCCTGGTTGTCTTCTCACGTCAAATCATAGGGATAGTGCGATGATCGGTTGCCGTTTTCCCTGCCCTTGTTAGTCCACAAGCCTGTGGATAGACCAGAAATTCAACATGTATATGCTCAGCCGGGTTAGTGCGAAGTACACCTAGGCAGTTGTCCGAATCACACTCTCACATTCAGTGAACCAGGTATCAGAGCCAAAACCCGTCTCAATCTAGCTATGAATTAAGGAACCTGCACAACTTATATGTTTACCTACTACCAGGGTACTGCTGTATAATACCAATACTAAGTGTATTAGACATATAAAACACATGCGTACTCCAATTTCAAATGTGATCTATCACAACTCGCAGTGCATTTCCCGAGAACACGGACCCCGACAGCCTAACTGATAGGTATATTACACGTACAGTATCTACTGCGTACTGAGTTTCCACTGAATTCAGAGACTTCCATCAGTTTCTGGATTAGGTTTCAAGGGAGCGTCCCGCTGTCCCCTTAGAAGTTGGAAATTTCCGTCCTTAGTACGGAAGCACCTTACACCCTTTGGTAAATGGTAGGAATTTTTTACAGCTGAACTGAAGTATTTGACAGCACAGGCCTGGTCTGATCGATTCTCGCAGTATTCAGCTGTCTACCTTACTTTACCGTGGTGCATCTAACCCCGTCAGACATGATATGTTTTTGCTTTAACAGCAGAAAAGACAACTTGATCTGCACTCTCGCCTCTGGCTTTGAGACGAGGGAGAGACAATACGGTGTCAGTGACGGCGATAGTTCTGACAACTTTCAAGTTCAAGGCTAGCCCTAGCCCACACGGCACCATTTCCCCAAAACGGGCCTCTTACACGACGTTGCGTGGCCGGGAGGGATTCCCCCCGGCCTTTAGCGTCGGTAGCGGCCGGTTCGGTGCTCCAATCAGAATACGGGGATGGCTATTGACATGGATGAGGTGGGGTGTTGGTTACGGTATTTCGCATGATTTTGGGGCGGTTACTGCGCTGTCGTTCGTACATGACCACCCACACAAGGGCGGGAGGTGGGTAAGGAAAGATGCAGTATGGGACAGGGGGCCACTGTTCTTCACCTCGTCAGCTAGCCACTGATGGATTTGTGGGAGGGATGATGCGGCCTGCAGCTGTTCGATTTGGGATCTTCGTTCTTCAGTGTCAAGGTTTGAAGCGTTGAGTTCTGAGGTGGTCCTGGGTTGTTGACTGGTACCACCAGGAGCACAGACGTATAGTCGAACTTGATCACCTTAAAGATGAGCTGTTGGAGATTGTTTGAATGAATTATCAGTCTCAATACATACTGTAATATATACTGCATATGGCCTTGAAGAGATCGGGATAAGTCAGAAACGCCTGTGTCACAACGCCATGCTAGTCTGACGTTGTTAGATAGTTCGTAGACAGACAAGAAAAAAGAACCCATAACCGAGAATGGAACGAAAGAAATAGAGGGAATGGAGTGGCTCGAGGGTTCGAGGCAAAATAGCCGCTGCAACGTAATAAAACGCAAGAAGGAGCAAGCCAACCAAAAACATAGCCATGCTTTTCTCGCTCATAATGATAATGATGGTATTGATGGCCAAAGAATGCACTGCCCATGATGATGATAGTAACGCTGCACGACGCTAAACCGAATGAAAGTTTGGTGGTAGTTCTCATAGAACGTTGTATGGTAGGTGATGACCGTTGTTGACCTAGACTCTGAGCCGACTGGCGCGGAAGGCCCTGATATCGATAGATTCCACTGAAACAGCCGAAGCGTCGTCAACTTCGATTTCGTGGGTGCATGAAGCCGGAGGTTTACCGCCCTCAGGTTCGGCAGCCGTCTTCGTAGGTGAGACCGTGACACTTTCCTTCTTCATGTCTTCTTTTAAAGTCTCCTCAGGTTGCTCTGCCTTCAGATTTCGCGCTTCTTTGGTTGCTAATTCAAGTAATGACCGAAAGTTCTCCACAACGCTTTTCAATTCCGCCGAGCAATCTCCATAACGCAGGAACTGGTAAGCCGCTGTCTCGCAGTGGCTGTGTGCCAGCTCGAGCTGTCTATCTACCACATCAAAAACCGTTTCCTTCGGAGGAACGCGGCTTGAGGACGCCTCCGCGGGAGGAGGACCTCTGGTTCGCATGCTGCGAATATTGGTCAGTATGTCGCCATCAGAACTGTCAGCCTGGTCCAGAAGAGCCGGTGCTGGACGATTCTTCCTCGCGTCTGGGTTGCCCATGCGCGGTCGGAGCCCACCCAGGGAGATCTGTGACATCTTGCCTCGTCGCATATTGTTCCGTGCGGTACCAATATTCCGTACCATCATCTCCAGCGACTTTTGCGTGTGGCCGTCATAGTGGATGACCACGTTGTGTCGAATGCTGACAAAGTCCGCAGTCTCCTCGGCGGAGTTGATGGAAGGGGTCCCGTCGGCACTGCGTTTTCGGGGATTTCCAATCAATCTAATCTGGGCTATCGAGGCTCCCGCTGCAGTGCTAGGGGTTCCCTGGGTTGGTTCAACCGAGGTACCACGATTCTGGGACGAAGGGAAGATGTCATCGGTGCGGATGGAGCAGACGGAGCTGTTCTTGCGTCGCCGGGGCCTCACCGGGGCGTATTTCTTGTAAGCCTCGGTGTACTCGGCATGTTTGGCAGCGGTATAGGCAGCCAGTTCTGAAATTTGATCGATCCAAGTCGGCAGGTTGTCGCACATGTAGGTGAAGGCTCCTAAAGCATCCATTGTCGGAGCTATGGCTGTATGCTACGTTGAACACAACTTGGGAGATTAAAAAAAAGAGTAGAGAAACAAGGACGAAGGTGATCAATTGCCTCCAATCCTATTTAGAAATGGTATTCAAATAATCGTGCCGTCGTGAGTCGTGAGGTTCGATAGACTAGTGGCGAGTACCGTTGATCGCGGTCGGAACCTGTTGGTTCCTCAGGATCCTCCCATAAGGCGGAGAAAATGATCACCAAAAACAGTAGAAATTGGGCGAGATAGTAATGAGTGTCTCGCTGCCTTTGAGATTATTGAATATCGTCCTCAATGTCGGAGCTGAAAGGCCGCAAATAGTATCGCAAGATAGGAAACGGAAAATAGCTGAGAGATGGCCGTCACGCGAACAAAGTCGACGGTCGAAGGTCAAAAAAGAGGTATGGGGAGGATGAGAAAGAAACAGGGAGAATGAGACGGGTCGGCGCCGGAATTATGGGAGTTGAGTGAGCGGAGGAGGCGTATTACTTTTCGACAGAGAAGAGGTAACGTTACATGTGTATTACAGACGAGTTACCAAAGGTAGAGGCCGAACAACGCTGTCAAGGACTCAAGGTACTTGTAGGAAGGGTTTGTTAGATAGATGCCAGGAGGTATCCCGTGCAGGTGAGCGGTACTTTATCATTCCCCGAAAGTGAAGCCCGAGACTTGGCATGGATCGATGCCTGCAGGAAGCCGCATTTGTTGTTGTCTTACGAGTTACGCTACGGCAGAATTACAGGGATACCTATATAACTAGTACGTTACCGCTCCATGAGCGACTGTCATACTCCGAGAACTGTCCTACAAAAGGGACAAAACCATCAAATTTAGGACCTAGGCTAAGAATAAGGACCCATACCCAACGGAAAATCCCCTGCTAGTTTTCCTTGGCGGGTTGTCCTGACGTCTCTGTAAGATTATTAGGGTTGCCTTCAGTGACGATGCCTTGGAGTACTGCTAGGTACCTAATATTATTACTTACCATCGCAGTATCTTTTACTGTCTCCACGAACTCAGTAGATACAAATACAATGCAGGTTCTGCTGGCTTCTCGACCATCCAGAATACCTCTCCAACACCCATTTTAGTTGGGCTAACGCCAACCCAAGATGCTGCTGACGGTTGACGCTTGTCAAAGTTGCGGTGAACTGTCCGCTCGTGGATGGAAGGTTCGCGTGCAATTCGATATGCAAGGCAGCGGTTTCGTCTATCACAAGCTGCTGACTGCCAATCAATGCTCAACACCTTGCCCGTCTGCCGTCTGGAAGGATCCTGGAGAGCGAAGCGTGAACAAGCTGACAAAATAATTGCATTGTTTCCCGCCCCGGATTCGATGATATGGGTCCTTCAAGTTGGCACTCCACGAAGTATGATATGCGTGGAGGGGTGGATGATCAGAGTGCGCATTGCCCGATGGAGTAAATGGATGCCCATACATGCGTGAATTCGATTCAGGCTGGAAGCCTTATTCGCTTCGTCTGCTCCACATCGAACTACTTGAGTCTCCAATTGCATCAGATAAATGGGGTCAGTCTAAGTAGGCAAAATCAAGCAGCTCCTCGTACGAGGTACTCCGTGTCGACTTGAGCGCAGGATGCATTTGCAGGATCAAGGAAGACACAGAATTCTGAGCGATTGGGAGTATGAGACAACCATATGATGACTATCATTGACCGTTAAGACGACATAAAATCAAGTGTCCGATCCGCATCATCACAGTGATAACGGCGAACTATTCCCAAGCAAGCCATGACACGTAACGGTTCCCGGACATAACAGGGATAGATGCAACCGATGCAGTAGTCACACTGAGAAATCAAGAATCAACATCTGATCGACAAGTGCCAGACTGTCAAGTTGCATCTCTCCTCAACGTCGGACTGCTGCCGAGCCGACCTGCGGACATGAGTGGACATCCTGACACTGAGCTAGAACTTTAACAAGCCGAGATGTCAAACGGCTGACAATTGTCTTGTCTAGTTGTCTTGGCTAAGTCCACATTACTCGCTGATGGGCGGGAGAGCCCGTGGACATGTCTTTGTTTAGCGTGTGACTGTACTCCGTATTCTTCGGTGACGGTGAATAACTGGATCCGGTATAGCGTGCCTCTTTGGGGAAAGCACCTCACTGCCGCTTGGTATTGCAACGATTCTTATGAAATCTGATGATTGACGATGGTATTTGATGATTCCATTTATGGTAGGTTAATAGGCTATTAGGTACAGATAGGAGAGAACAGCAAGGAAAGGTCATAAGTCATATAAACTGGGAAACAGAGGTAACGTAATCGGTAAGCGAGTCGGCCACGTAAGCGAGTCGGCCACCCGGTCAAGGCATATCCTAGAATTCTGATTTACATACAAAAAAGGAAGTTATTCCACGTTAATCTAACCATTAAAACGCGCTGAATTCAGGCAGCTACTCGATTAGGACATCTTGTACGTATATGTCCTAAAACACCACACATACTGCACCGAGGTGGTGCCCGACGGCGTGGTTGATCATCTCCAGGCCCTGTATCACCAGCTGCTTCCTCTAAGGCCTGAACATGGTTGAATGCCTCAAGTGCTTCCTGGATTGTGAAGCCATTCAAACCATTCATTTGGTGTTGGTTACGCTTCTGCTTATTCTTTCGTCTCTCAATGGCCTGGTGAAGTTGAAGGTTTTCATGTTCAAGAAGAATAGCACGGTTCAAGGCTATCTCTGCACCTTTACAGATGTAAGATATTGCTGTCTGTATTGGTGAGGTAGGAGGGTTTGTTTGAAGTAATTGAGAGATCACCGACTCATGCTTTTTGAATTGATTCAAATTTATCGGTATTTTGGTAATCATAGATGTAGTGCCTTGACTGCTGGGACGGCTGTCTTCCTTGTAAAAGATGAGGCTATCCAGAACCTGGTTAGGATTAAAAGGGACTAATCCTGAGGCTCTAAAAGCACTCTGTATATTCATCTTCTTGAAGGCTTGGGCGTGGGCTTCTGGGTAGACGTCAAGAAAGTCAACCTTATCAATATGGTGATATCCTGTTCGTACAAGCCGTTCAATGAGGTTACTGTAAGCTCGTTTCAATGGTGAGAAACAGGCCACATCCAAAGGTTGACAGAGATGTGAGGAATTTGCAGGCATGCAAATAGGAATAATATCATTTTGACGACATATATCATCAAATTGAGGTGTTAAATGAGAGTCATGCCCATTAAGAACTAAGAGGCTATATTGGCCAGTTCTTCGGTCCTTAATATAAGGAATAAAGTGTTCTTTGAGCCAGTGTTCACCAATTTCTCGTGTTGTCCATCCATTTGATGATATAGCAATTCTCCATGAAGCTGGAGTATTACCTTCATACCAGGCCTGAATATGAGTCTTTGCTTTCAACACTAAGTATGCTGGTAATGCCCATCCGGAGGCGTTGATACACTCAATTGAAGTTATCCATTCTCGATTTCCCAGTTGTATAAGAAAGGGCCTTCCTTCACAGGATGATCGTGTGATTACCTTCGCGGTAGCCACCAGGCCCATAGCAAAGCCGGTTTCATCAAAATTGTAGATATCTTCATTGGCGATACCATAAGTTGATATAGCGGCTTGCACGCGTTTGAACCAGGCTTGAAGAACTTCAGGATCCTCGCATTTCGCCCGTTTATAATTGATTTGACGACTAAACCGACTTTTCAAGGAATCATGGCGGGAAATGAAGTTATATACCCATTTCTCTCCCACTGAGGAAGTTGTATCTTGACCACGTTGTTGGATCAATATTGTAGCCATTTCACGGACCTGGAAGTGCCTTGGCGGTGCACCACGTTGATCTAATGAGAGAATCCATTTAATAAGTGATTCTTCCTCTATAGGAGTCAACTTATGGGAATTGGCGCGGGTTTCCTTGCGAAATTTGATTCCATTCAAACGATCTTGAAGTGTTGACCGGGGAACTTCAAAGACACGAGCAGCTTCACGAACTGATTTGATTTGGCCATTCTGAATAGCCTTAACTGCTAAGGAGATCCTCCCCTCTCGTTCCACCAAGGATTTTGATGATTTGGGCATTTTTCGTGGTGATATGGATGGCTGAATAGCCTTGGTTTCAAAGGGGTGGTGATTCTTGATGGGGGTGGCCGACTCGCTTACGTGGCCGACTCGCTTACCGAATACGTTAGACGCGCTGAGTAAGCTGCTGTTTGGTATGTTTGCACTGTCGCCCGCAACAGTATCGAAATCCGTAGGACAGTTGCAATTAAACATTCTCAGTTCGTTACATGGGTAACAGGACCCAGGAGCCTCCCCTCATGATTGAAGATCTGTAACTCTGTGTAGTTGTTTTGGTAAATGGCATGGATGAGATTTGGCTCAGTGTGACCTATTACATTGTTAGCAACAAAAAGAAAGATGCGGGAGAATAAAAAACAAACCACAAGTTGGCGGGGTAGTTGCACAATTTATAACAATCCAACCAACAACCTCTCTCTCCTTTAGCCATTGATAGTACCTTCCTCCCTCCTTGAACCGCAAGATATGCTCATCCATTCGATCGTAGTCCTTCAACAGCTCGATTGCCCACTTCTTTTCAGGTATCCAGAAATCAACTCTGCCAGCGCTCGTCCTCGACCACTCGGAGCAAATCGGTACACCCCGGCCTGCTAAGTTATTAAACACCCTGTAGAACTCATCTTGATACTGCGCTTCCACGGGCCTAGGTTTTGCTGCACTTGACAGTTTTTTGCCTTCGGTAGAGTGCCTCAGGTTCATTGCTGAAAACCCACGTAGGATCTCCATGCACAGCTGAGTTAAATTTAACTCGGCAAAAGGCGCGGGTAAGGGCTTCATGCGACTACCGATGATGTGTTCAATCCACCAAAGATTTTACTCAGTATAAAACAAGGAAGGTAATGTACAAGAGATACTTACTTCTCATGTAGGCGCGATGGAAGAACACTAACGTCAGATGTGTTCCCATAGGCCTTACTCATAGGCAACCTGTGAATCCAACCATTCCTATAACATTTCTTTAAACCTGGTCTCTCATCCCACGGAATACTTCCATTTTCTGCAATGTCGCAAAGAACATCCGCTGCTTCGGGTGTCAGGCGTGACTCTGGAGGAAAAGAGCGAGCAACAGCGCATGTTTGAAGATATTTGAACGCAGAATCTTCATCATGTTCAACAATGTCGACAATATATTGCTCAGTTATTACAAATGACTTTTCATGCTTCATGTTCTGGCGATAGACCTAAAACTGATTTCTTCTCATGGTGGTTGACTTGACGTAGAAGCGAGCCAGTTCCTAGGCGCCAATTTCCAACTTGGAACAAAGATTGATTTGAAATTCATGCCTGATCATGTTCATATGACCTGGCCCATTTCTCTTGATTATTTCGCTTTTCTCTAGCGTAGAATATAGTACTTTTGTCTCCGAGTGTCGCCGGGTTATTCCCAATCGGGCAATTGGTAAGACTTTCCTGTTCTGTCGCGGGCTTGGCAATTTGCTGGCAATCCAGACTCCTACAAAAGGAGTTGCTGAGAGGAAAAGGATCGTCAAGGTACGGCAACGGTGATTGTTTGGATTATCTATACAAGGTTTCACTCGAATCTCGGTGGTGTTCAGCAGGGTAGTCCATCTACTGGATGCAGAATTATGTAGCGTCAGTCAATCAAAATCATCAATTCTGGCGCGGTATCGTCGGCTTCGAAATAAACCATCCCTGAAACTCCATGCGACAAGGAAAAGCAAAAGCAGAAAAGCCAACCAGAGAAAAGACAAAACTGTACAGTACATGCAAAACGGCAAACAGCAGGAGCCGTCCTAGGCCCACAATTCTCTCATTCAATTGAATGAGAGACAGGGCCCGAGGAACAGGCTGCTGAATGCAAAGGAAGAAACATCAACCCAACGCCGACGCAGAAAGCCACACCTCGCCCATCTCCTGTACGGGTGGTCAAGGGGGTAGATACAGGAACCGACCAGACCGTGCTTGCGCCGCGCTCTACTTACATGAACAAAAGAAACAGTTGATGAAGGTTGCCCACAGCCGCAAAAGCAACACCTTGCAGACCTGCACCAGGCATGAGAACAGGGAGTACTGTTTTCACAGCCCCCTGTTCCACACCTCCACCCAATTGTCAAGTGCTTGCTTGGCAGCTTGGAGGGATTGAATCGCAGCGAGCCACTTGGTCTCGGCGTCCTCCAGCTTCTGCTGCAGTTCTCTGCTGAGAACCGCATGCACTGACAAATGAGCGGCTCCTTCCAGATTGTTCATCGGGAAGGAGGGTAAAGGCCGCGACCCCGGAGTTGTGGCGGGGGACCTGGCAGCAGCGGGCGCCACGACGGGTGCTGGAGTCGTGTTGCAAACTGCCGCCTGCTCAACGGCTTCAACATCACGCTCCGCCTTTGGCTTTCGCCCCCGTCGGGTTCGCTTCCGTGGAGGGTTGGACGCCTCCACGGAGCCGGTCCCTTCGACGCTCACAGCGGCTGCGGGTTTCGATTCGGTCGCGCCCGAAGACGCTTCCTCCTCGACTTCGACAAACTTGCGTTTGCGAACTCCGCCCGGGGCCTGCCTCTTTGCGACAAAGACACCAGCTTCGGATCCGGCGGGACGAGGGGCGGACTCCGTCAACACCTCCTCGTTTTTGCCCTTCAACCGGATCCGAAGGGGTCTCTTCGCTGGTGGGGGAGCCTGGTCCTCCGCGCCCACCGAGGCAGAAGGGTCGCTGCCATTGCCAGCGTCATCCCTGACACCGACGTGTGCCTCTGCTTCCCTCTTCCGTTTCCGGGAGGGGACGTTGCCTTGAAACAGTTAGCTCGTCGCGATCAAGAGAGATTGGAAGAGAAGGAAACTTACTGTCATCGTCTTCGATGACCTGACGGTGCGTGCAACGTATTTTGGACTTCTTGCAGTTGGCACACGCTGGCGTCATTTTTTTACCATCGGCGCCTTTGGCCGCCGATGGCTGGATACGCCGCTAGAGGATCGTTAGCATGAAAACGTACCCGAGGAGCAGAGAGTGAGCCAGATACTAACCTTGCGGCTGCGGGAAGGCTGCTCGCCCCCCTCCACGCTGGGGGCCCTCTCGCTCCCAGCGGCTTCCTCAGCCTCGGACTGGGGATTGGCGAGGGGCTCGCCGGCATGGGACGCCTTCTCACTGTGGATGTTTGCCGTGTCAGCCTCAAGCTTGACCCTGGCACAGTCGAGGCACATGCTGGTCACCATGCCGACGAAACCCTTCGCACGAGGGGCCCCACACTTGACACAGAGCGCGTCTGCTTGCTCAGACATTGTGGTGGTCTTTGGAGCTGACCCGTGTTAGCTGAAATGCCGCCAACAGATCCAAGAGATCGACTGGTATCTCACCGATGTTATGTAGAAGCTGCGCAGGCGACTTGTGTTAGAGAGCTGAAAAGACGCAAGGACATCAGAGAAATGGACAAGATACTTACCAGAGACGTAACAAGCGAAGCTTGTAAGTATGGAAATGATTGATTGATTTTTGAGAGCCTTGGTGACAGCTAAAGCGCAGGATATGGAGGAATGATGGTGATGATGGTGGAGAGAAGAAGAAGAGAAGCAGAGAAAGAGAAGGTGAGATGGGAGGGTGCTTGAATACTCAAGCGACGCTAACAGACAAGGTAAACAAGAGAGTGAATGTTCAACTGAGATGGATATGCTGAGTTGACGTTGCTGAAGCGGAATGTTCCATCTAAATTCAGCACCAGGCTCCACACTGAGAGGGAAGCAGGCATGGCTGGGAGACTCGATTCACTGCTCTCTGGAATATCGCCTCATCTAGGCCTAATTAGGACCCTATATGCTCTTACTGACAGGATATTCAGGGCATATCCGGGCCTGACCCGGAACTGGATCGTCCGGTTGGTGAGCATGGAGGGGCTGGGGAGAACAGAACCTGCTGAAGCTCTTTGATATTCACTCGTCTGCTCTATATCTAGTAACAAGAAAGCACACCAGGACAATGACGCCTGTCTATCTGATCAGCCACAGCACAAAGAAGATAAAAGAGAAGATAACAGCCCATATCATCGCTCAATATGTCATAGATAAACTTGAAGCAATGTATTGAACGGCTTCACTTCACTCCGCAACTAGACCAAATACTTTGTCTACGGCCATAGCTCAGTCTCCTCCCATCTAACATCATCACCAGTCCCGCCAACAAGGGTCCAGTTCCACCGCTGTGGCTTCTCATAGTCTGACAGATCCAGCCGCTCAACCTCATTAGCGCGAATGACAACCACGCGAAAGTTCCCACGAGCAACAGGGTCATGCAGATCATTCAGCTTCTGACCAAGCTTGAGCTCGGGATTAGTGGGTACTTGCGATCTCGGTGTTCCAGGCGGAGGATTCTTGAACGAGCCTATACAGCGTCAGCTTTCAAATATGCCTTACCAAGCACAAGAGACGAAAAACTAACCTCTAAGAACAGGCGTATGGTTCGCAAAATACGTCGTCACCTGCCTCTCCCAACTCCACTCCTTCTCCTTCCCCTCACACCCATCACAAACCCTCAGCCCCTTCATGATCTCCCCCCTGGCCTTCTCCTCCTGCTCCCCACCGGACGGATCCCCAATCACAAACGCCTCTCCTCTCACCCTCCACTGATTACCCACATCCTTCAACCAGAACACCGCCTCGACCACATTCCCCGACGCCTCCAGCTGCCCGATCTTCTCCATCCGCGCATCCGTCGTAAACGAGATCATCTCGCTCTCGTACACGGGCGGGTTGGGGTGCTCGTTCTGCGATTCTAGGGTCTTGAGCGCGCTAGAGTGTAGTTCTGGGTTTGGGAACCAGCCTCGGAAGCCGCAGGTGCGGGTACGAGGGACAGTTTGGCCCTTTGCGTCGAGGGCGACGGTGGTGATGTTGAATTCAGACGTGGAGGACTTGGAGAGGTGGGATTGGAAGGTTGAGAGCCAGGGAGCGCTGGGTGGCATTTTTGCTTGTGATGATGGATTTGATGAGATACTGACGATTGGAGTAGCGGATGAGGATGTGGATGTAGACTGGCGTCGTAGTTGGAGGGCTAGGGAGGAGAGACGTTTGCTATAGATGTTTGGAGCCAGGGTGTGTGGTGCGGATTGCAGGGTTGGGTGTGTTGATTGATGCGAGGTATTCTATTCTTTGCCTTGCAAAGTAATGGGAAACTAGCAAGCAGGTTAGTCAATTGGAGTATCTATCCTGCACTGAAGCGTCAAGTCATGTCATCTGGCAGAACGATCCTCAACGACTGATACACGATTATTGATGACGTTGAGGCCAATATGTAAAGCACGTGTTGTTATCTTATCAGATTGAGAGTCTTGGCATCAATCAGGATCCTCCTTATTTCATCTACAACGGCTGATGCGAGTCAAATAGTTGCTTATCATTATGCCACACTGGCCCGAGGTGGACCAATCTAGTATGCTCGACTTAAAGAGCTTTTGTATTGTGCTGCCGAGGAACACGCATAAATAACTCCGAGTAAAAGAGAACCCACTAAAACCACACATGTGCCTCATGCAGAGCCTTCAAAAACATATTCGAGTACAAAATCCCTGTAATAGAACAAGTGAAACTCAACGCCGGTCCGCATTCACGTCTGCATCTGATTCTCGTCTTCGCTGTCCTCACCGGCATCAAGAGCGCCTCCGGGTATCCGCCCTTCATTCAATTCCTTCTCCAGTCTAGTAATCTCCTGGAGACTTCTCGCCTCACGGATCATCTTTTCGACCCGCTTCCTCTCCTTCTCGGTCAGCTTGACCCTAACAGCCTTGTCTGCCGGTGCTCGCTCAGCGCCGCCAGACGGTACATCAAATGTACGGGATTTGATGCCCATAATCTTGGACGCGAGAGCTGTGGGTTCTTCGGCAGTACCAAATAGCTCCTTCGCCTTTGCCCGCTCCGCGTCTTTCACTTTCTGGTAGTCAAGGAATCGGACGCTTGGTATCCGCCAGATCACCCAGTATCGGTAGTGCTACAAAAATCAGCAACTCTCATTCAGAGGACGCGTTGCAGTAGCATTAATCAAATTCTGAAACGAAACACGGGCCGAAATGCAGGGCAGCTCACCTCTTTCCTTGTAACAGGGTTCTCCAGTAACACCAGATGAGTCAAGCGTGTCAAGTTTCGGAGGGGGTCCAAGTCCGCCAATTCGGCCATATTGTTCGCCGTGAGGACCAGCGTCGTCAGGTTGGGGATTGTGGAAGCTATCGTCGGTTGAATATGCTTCACCCGATTGCGCGCAAGAAGGAGGGTGTGGAGACGAGGAAAGAAGGGAAAATTCCCCAGGGAGGAGATATCGTTATCCGTAAAGTCGATCGCATCTTGGTCCTATTGCCTATAAGCCGTCTGCACCACTGGCCAACGAATCGAGCCGACAGGCTCAACGTTTCGAACCGAACATACCTTTGCAATACCCAGGTTTTCAATGGTGGGAATTTTGTGCCCTGCATAATTCAAAAAAATTGATATCAATCCAGCTCACAGTGTAGTATCTGTCCTTTTCAGGCCAAAGTGCAAAACCCACCTCGAAGGTCTAGCTCGCGCTCCTTGAGCGGATTGATGTAGGAAAGGGAATTCTGAATAAGTTCGACGGTCAATCGCATTGCGGCGGTGGATTATTATTGCTGCTTCTCTATTGGGGTATCATGCACGCAAGTAATGCGCAGAATCGAACAAAAGAAGATAATTATTGAGGTGACAACAAAGTAATTGAAATATATCGCAGAAAGCGGAGATTGAAGCCGAAGCTCTCTAGCGCATGGCTGAATTATTGAAGCAGCATTACCTCAAGATTTTGCCAGGCGGTGAGGTTGACCGACTGAGCTTTCTAACGAAGCACGTGATGTTACAGTGTTTGATCGAATCAAGAAATATCCAGTATTTCAGCTTATTATCGACGTGCTATATAGGTGATTTCGAGTCTATGATACATGAAACCTCATTAAAACATAAGCCAAATTCATTCCAGGGAACGGCTTGCAGAAAGATGTCGGAACAAAAGCAGCAGCTATGTACTCCAGAGCACAAGATCATAATATAGGACGACGGAAAGTAGAAAGCAATTCAACATCCGAATCGAATCGAAGAGTGACAGGGAAGTGCAGGTCACCGAGGGAAGTTTTCAGATGCAGGAGACAACGATGGAAACCGTACCGTAACGCCAAACGATATGCAAATTAAACAGTATGATCATTAGTCTTGATTTAGGGGAGCCATATTGGGTGATCTGTGAGATCTCGTGGGACTGCCTGTCCTAGAGCGACGGCCGTTTGTGGTCGGGCCTAGTGCTACTGGAGCCAGGTGGTCCCTACTCTCCGTCCTCACGACCAACCCGGCACGATCCATGGCATTGACGCCAGAGTCGGCGGTGATTCCCAACCCGATGGTCGATGTGGACGAATTGTCCAATCCAAATTTGAAACTAGGAGTGGTTGGACCGCTCCAGGTTGTTGTTCGCTTCGGAGGCATGAAGCTACTCGAATCCGTATCCGAGGAGTGTCTCCTGTCCAGAGAGCCACGTCCGGAGCCTACCACACCCAGGTCAAATTCATCGGCACCGTCTTCAAGAACGCGCTCGTATGAATGTGAGCTGCCGCCGAAGAATGGTAGTTTGCCAGGGAAGGTTCTTCGCTTCCTGGGGTAGCTCGGATGAGGCGCACCTCCGCGCTTGAAGAGATTTTTGAACATGTGGTAACCTCTCAGTCGACGACTCCGACCGCAGAGGAAGAATGCAGCCATTGCAATAATAACCAGGAAAAGTAAGAATCCCGGAACCCTGCGCGAGGAATCACCATCAAAGAGCGCATCGTGCCAATTCGCAACGTGAAGCGACTCATTGCTGGGAAATAACTCGACGCTGGGATATTGGAAGTCATTGGGGACACCTGGAACATTGCTGCCAAAGCCAACCGGGAGTGTTTCTTGAGCTTCTTGAACTTCCACTGGAACCTCAGAGCATGCATAGAGCACCATTTTACCCAGTGTCCAGCTAACTTCGGTGGAGTGAATCTTGTGAACCGCTTGAAAAGGATCAAGGAATCCTTTCTCCTTGCCATGGGAGAGAACTTCCTTGGTTCCGTTGTGACCTGAACCATATGTATCCTCGAGACCCACGCGAGGGATACCGATGCCGTTGTGCAGCATATTGATGATCCATGAAGCCTTGAAGCAGACCTCGGAAGCCGATTCCCGATCGACCTTCTTTCCCCACGACTGTTTTTGTATACCCTGGTCGATGGCTTCCCAATCCTGTGAACAGAACTGTTGTACCCGCTGTTGATAAGTGTTGAAATCGTACGCTTTGTCCTTGTGCCCCATTTCAAAGATCTCATGCGTCGTATGCCAGTACTCGCTGATACCGATGAAATGATTCACATCAAAGTCAATAGCAGGGACATGCACTCCGTGAAGAAGGCAAGGCTCATCCGAACAGGGCGCATCCTTGTCCAAAAGAGGGTATGTTTGTCGCAAGCATTCATCGAATCGCCCAGTTCCCAGCAGAGATAACTCCGAGGTGTCGTCGGTCCGCAGAGGTTTGCCGTCAATTGTGGCTCGAAGCCCATTGGGGAGACACGGATCTGGAAGTTCCTTCGCGGTTCCGGCTGCGGTTTGTAGGGCCTCCAAATAACGTCTCCGAGCTTCGTGCACGCCGAATTCAAGCCAAGATGTCACAAACACCCGATGCTCCTGGGTGGAACCGTCAATGTTTCGCAGCCGAAGTAGAGTCAGGTCATTCGCGTGTTTCTCGGTCTCGGTTATATTTGGCGCAAAGGCAATCTGCGCGGATGCACCACCCATATCCAAGAACCCATAAGTATGATGGCCCTTGCCATGATCATGTCCTTTCGGTTCGTCGAAGCTGCCCAGCAAATAATTGGTCGCGATCCATCCGTAGAGGGCCTCTGTCACCCCTGGGATGACCTGAATGTGCACGCCGCAATCAGGAAGCAGAAAATCATAGTTTTTGCTGGCGTAGGAGCAGATCTGTTGTAAAAGAAGCTCGCGATCACGATTGGGTAAGAGTCGCATCCCAGCAGTGGCTAGTAGAAAGATCGGAGTATCCTTTATCTGATCGGCGGGGACGATCTTGCGCGCATGATCGAGAAGTTCCGCAAGATGATCGGGGCCTACTAGCTCGGGTCTGTCGGCGAACGATGACACGCCTATGACAATGCGATTGTCAGCGAGACGGATTCCGAAGAGAAAGTGCAGTCATGTCCTCTAATATAACCTACCAGGATGTATCTTTTTCGTCCATTCCGATTTAGTCTTGATCTCCGGTAATGTTTTCAGCTCATCACTTTTAGCGTGCTTGCGAGCAATGGCGGGGTCCAACCACCGATAGACGTGCACTCGAGTCCCCTGTCTCAGTTGTTAGTAGGAAAGCAACGGCCTTTCACAGTTAAGATGCGTACAGATGATCCCGCATCCAGGACGATGCCATAATGCCCTAATGCGACATGGTCAGCTGCCGCTTCAACAGCGAGGAACAAAGTAAGCCGAAAAGGGGAGTGGCGGCATACATTTGCCCATCGGAACGTGGAGGAAAAGTCGATATTATGATTATACGTTAAGCATTGCCGCCAGATTGGCGACCTTTAATCAGCGAACGTTTGAGAAGCGACAACACTCAGTTGTGAACAGGCGTCGAAGTGAAGCAATGCGACAGCATGCAACCGTAAGCTACACCGGGGGAGAGCGATGGACGATGGAGAAGGCGGGGAAACTGGGGGAGAAGAAACCAAGGCTTAGTTGGATCAAACGAATGGCCTTGCTTAAGCAAGATAGAAACAACAGAACAAGAGGAGAAGACGACGACGACGCCTAGAAGGAAGACGACAATGATCCGTACAGGGTGTATCTGGAGGGGAGAGGGAAAAAAGGGCCAGAAGAAAGTTACAGGGTAACGATAAGACGGGAACGGATGGCGACAGAACGCGACCACTCCCGTCGCCGATCGCCAGCGGGACCGTACACCAGAATACCACTAGTCCTTATTAGAAGAGGTCTGGACCCATCTGGATATCAGGATTTCGTGATAGTGACAGTGGTCATAACTTGCACTCATCGCAACCCGGATATAGATTCCATAATTCCTGAGGTACTCCGTATAAGCAACTGAATACAATAGCATAAGGAAAAACTCTCAACTGGACCCTGTACTAGACTTTTCGAGAATACGAAAATTTCAAATGACATACGTACTCCAGGCCCAGCCTCAGACGTTCATGACCCCATCTCCCACCCTCCTTTACAATCAAAACACTGAAAATAGCCCCGAAAAGTGCGCTAAAGAGCACTAAACTTACGCACTCCGGTCGGATTGACGTAAGCTCGCCCCACTTTACTTAGTTTGGCCGTCGCGTCATTGGCGGAATTTGACAACTTTATCTCCTGCAGTGAGACTGGCTGATAGCCTGATAGTCGACCCTGAGACGTCAAGTGTCATCCCCCCACGGTTAGGATTCATCTATCCGTATGCTATACAGAGTACGTTTCTAGAAGACTCATGAATATGATTGGACTCAAGGTGGTCTTGCAAAGATTGCCCCGTCTAAGTTACAGCGAGTTACTCATGGCATCCGCTTCCAGTCATGAATTCCTGCAGATGGCAGTGTGCACGGCGTAGTCCTCCAACGTCCTCTGTTCAGGAATATGGTAAACTCCGAATTGACTCTACCTAGTCTACGTGCTAAATGGGGTGCATTCCTCTCCACCCATCCCTCTCTGAGCCTGTGGTCCCAAGGATATCCCTCAGGGTAACACCCACTGCCAACTCCACTGGTAGGGTCATGTCAAACTTCAAAACCCCCGACCTTATTGGACTCCACCTAAGCGAATAAAGCTAAGATCCCATTGTAAGAAACAAATTATCTAACCTACATTGCTTTCCCCGCGTGAGTTTCATCCTTCGAAACTGATGACTGTTTCGAAACACCGACAATGGTTGGGGTTGTCACAGTAATGGAGTTGTCCACTAAGCTCCAGTCTCCAATCTGTTCTTCAAAGAGCTGAGCCTGGTCAAGTCCAATCATCTCGGATTCCTCATCAACTCGCAGGTGCATTCCCGGGATGAATTTGAGAATGTATAGCAAGGCGCATGAGACCACGAACGAGTAACCCGAGATGGCGCAGATCTCAGCCAGTTGGTAGCCAACCTGGATTCCATTTCCGTCAATCGCTCCACTTGAAAAGGTGAAACCATCAAGGGACGAGATATTCTCAGTTGCAAACAGACCCGTCAGGAACGCGCCGACGATGCCACCCACACCATGGAGCTTGAATACATCCATGCCCTCGTCAATATTCAGCCAGTCGTTGATATTCCGCAGCAGCGAGCACACAATGCTGGTGATGAACCCAATACATGCTGCTAGCCAAACGGACACGTACCCGGCAGCCGGGGTGATACCCACCAGACCGGCAATGGCTCCTTCACAGGCTCCAACTACGGAGAATTTTCGCTTGTGTTTGATGTAATCAACCATTGCCCATCCTAAGATGCCTGTGCTCGCTGCTGTATTAGTGTTGAAGATGACCACCATAGAACGCACACTAGCATTGAGAGTTGAGCCGCCCTGTTATTTGTAAGCGGCGCGCCTTC